AGAAGAGGTAGAATTCTCATTTATTCTTATCCATAATTTATTATGTTTGAATTTGATTTATTCTATGTAAAAGTTTCACATTATGCAGTTGCGTATCCTTGGTTGCATATGTTGTACACCGCTTTAGATGAAATAACATAATCTACAGTGTTTGTTTTGTACGCAAAAAAATTAAGAGTCCAGATTTAAAGGTTTTCGTTCACCTGGGTACGTCAAAAAATCATTATTTCAAAAAGGTGCTCATTTGAGTGTAATCTCCTTTGAGTGCGTACGCTGCAAAAGTTATAAGGAAACTCAAAGAATTGAAATTATAACGTTTTGTAACTGACCGGGTGAGCAATGGAGCAATGGTTGGGGCGGAAGTATTGGGGTCATACTTATACCTTAGATGTTAGGTGACCGTTGAACCGAAATTGATCTGTTATTGCAAAAAAAAAATACTAAAATGAAACGACAAAAAAGTTCGCGAGAGAATCATTAATCTGGGAACACAGAAAACATGTGCGAAAGAAGAGGATGTAACAAAAATATCAACACCAAACGGAACAAGAGGAAACGAATACCAGTACATCTGCGACAAAATTGAAAAATAGACAAGAGGTATTTGTTCGTGAAGAGTAAACTATTCCGTACAGAACTGTCTGTTCCTTCTGCAGTTTTTAACTTATTAGGTTGAAAAGTTACCAAGGAGGAAGATACGGGCATTGATGATGATAACCGACCTACCGTATCGGAGACAGAACGTGGAAAAAACATGGATTCACATCATTATTAGCGACGCTTATTGATGATGCATAGGCAAGGTTGCAGACATTCTTGTAAAATGTTCATATTGTAAAGCTTGGAAACATTGGACGTTTAACAAATAGCACTGCTGAATATAATCAAACCACGAAGATCAGCGATCGACGAATCATGACAGATATGCCGAGAAGACGGAAATTGATACGATAAAAGAAATGTTTCAACGGGCTATACAGCGTCATGCTATTAATACTAATTATTATCGGAGATGACTTAAAAACTTACAGAGGTATCGTCGACGCAAAACCACAGTAACAATAAATACACATAAATAAGAAATAACACTATGGCCACGTACAGAAGCGGATGGGCACGCGAGTTCGACAATGCATAAAGAAAGGAAAGGTATTGGTTGTTGAAATAAACAAACAAGAAACTGTGATTAGTTAAAAAAAAAAATGAAGGATGCCATATAACGTTTTCTGATGTCCCCAAGCCTCAGATTCTTAATGTTCATGATAAAAAGTAAATGCAGATAACACACAATTACACACCACTTCCCGAGGTGTTGCTGATTGCTAGCAAACCTACGACCTTACGTCGTGTAGGCGAATTTACACAGAATACCATTGAAATGGTACCAAAAAAAGTACAGTCCGGTATTAAAATTGTCCAAATTTTTGTAAATATTGCTTCATGTATATTCTAAGAGGGAATGCGAAATATATTGCAAATAATGCAAATTTGTAGTTTCCGGTTCAATAAGTACTAGTTTTGTTACCAAAAGAGAGCCAAACTGTTTTTTTTAATAAAAATGGCTAATGCACGTCTGGTATCGTAAACGCTTAGTTCTAGTTTTAGTTTAACATATTAATAGGTTGTAATTTTTTATCTAAATTTTGATTCAATGCAGATAAAATATCATATTTTGAAATGCATATCGTGGTTTTCCAATACTTCCAAATGTGCCAAATAAATAATTGTACTACCACCAGTTAATTTATTAAGAGATTAAACTTTAATCTTCGCGCGCCCCCCTAGGGGGGCGTCATAATTCTACATGGGGGGCGCCAACACATCAAAATGAAAAAAAAAGATAATTACTAATAAAAAATTAAAGTCATTCTGACATTCCAAAAATTTAAGTAAGTACGGTACACATTTAAACTAATACACTCGTACTACTACCTATGTATTTAATTACTATAAATATGATTGTATCAGTAGGTACTGTCAAATGCCAAATGAAACTAATAATAGACTCATCAGTACTAAATTAAAAGTAGCTGTAATGATTATAATTATTAGTGACTCCCTTGGGCCTGTCTCGCACAGCAAAGTTTTTCAAAAGAAGGTTTTATATTACAAATAGCCACTCTCAGTTCTTTGGTATATATTCAGTCGAGTCCTATATTTTGTCTTTAAAGCAGCCACCGCAGAAAATCCGGCTTCGCAAAGCTAGGATGTTGAAAATGGCAATAATATACGAAATGCTCTTGTTTTCAGTGGAGAAAATGCATCATCCACTCCCGCCCAAATTTCAAAGAGAGTTTTATTACTAAATTCTCTCTATTACTAAATTTCGACCCTTGCAGTAAAGTGTATGAAGATTTCTTCTTCTGCAGTTGAGAGACCTTCGTGAGTAGTTCGAAATGGATCCCTAACCCACTCGTAACTTGCTACCAATTTGTCGTCAGCAAGAAAATACTTTTCAAAATTCTGTGCTAACATGGCTAAATGACTTTCAATTGTTACAAAAAAAACTTTCACATACTGTTCTTCTTCCTTGTATGTTTTGACACACTCATTCACATTTGCAAACATTTCTAGTTTTTTTTGTTTTACATTTCTGCTCCACAGCTCCAAATTTCTACAGAAAGTACTAACTTTATCACTGCTATCCAACATATGTGTGTTTGCTCCTTGAAGTTGTAGATTCAGGGTATTTAATTTCTCGAATATGTAACCAATTTCATCACAAATAAAGCATCTCGAAACTTTTTGGCTTCCAGGCGGTTTTCCTCTTCTAGAAAAATGGCAATTATCCTCTTTTAACTCATAAACACGTTGTAGAATTTTCCCACGCGATGGCCTCACAATAAAATAGCAACGTCGAATGTTCTGCACCCATATCTTTGCAAAGTGCATTAAAGATTCTTGATTTTACGGGTCTCATTTTTATATAAGTTACTACAGTTACAACCGTCGTTAGTAACTTGTTGAGACCAGGACTCATTTCTTTGGAAACCAGAGCCTTTCTATTGATGGTCGGTGTCCAGACACATTGCGGAAATTTTTGTTTCACAAGTGCTTGTACGCTTTGGAATCTTCCAGATATTGTACAAGCACCATTGGTGCATATTCCAACGCAATTCTTCCACTCTATGTTTGCCTCATTAATAAAATCAATTAAAATATCAAACAAAGCGAGTGCTGTTGCTTTGAGTTCTATAGGTTTGCAGAAAAGTAGTTCTTCTAGTGCCGATATGCGATCACAAAACCAGACATCGGAAATTAAATGAGCGTCTTCATTGCTATCTGTTACGTCGTCAAGCTGAATCGAAAACAATTTGTCATAATACTTTTCGAGAAGCTGGTGCTGTACATCTTCGGCTATATCACCAATTCGGCAGGCAACAGTATCATTTGAAAGAGGTATGGATTTTAATTGTTTGGCAAAATTATCTCCAAACATAGTTTCTACAATCTCCATTGCAACTGGCAGAATAAGGTCTTCACCAATGGTGTGAGCCTTTTTATATCTGGCTATTTTATATGATACTTTGTAAGAGGCAAGTAAAACTTTTTCGTTCACAAACAAAGTTTTTTTGAAGAATGACGTTTGCTCATCATATGACTAATTTTAATTCAAAGAATTCTCGAGGCTTGTTAACGTACTCACTATGAAGTGTTTCCAAATGGCGTCTAAGTTTATTAGGTTTTATGCTGCCTGCTGCCAAAATTTTTAAACAAATGACGCAAAAGAAAGGTAGGGGGGCGCCATAAAAATATACGCCCGAATACTGAAACGTTGAGAAACGCTGGATTAAAGATTTCTGGCGGGTGGTGGTTTGATAGCGAACATACATTAATCGCCACATCTATAAACTCTCTATCGACGCGTTGAGAACACCTGGTTTAGTCGTGCACTGATAATGATTTTGATATTGAATTATTTGATAGTGATATAATTAAGTTATTTTTCCAAGCTTTTTTAAAAACTATATGAATATTGTTTTATTGTGTGGTTTTCTTCGTGTATAACTCATCCATTGATCCATTGAGTACATACTTATAATTATATTGGAACTTTGTTACAATTATCATTCTCACGGTGTTTGATGTTGTGACGGCTTGCTGTCGTCACTTGCTTTGGAATCGCTGGAAAACAAAAACCGCGATGAATCCTTAGTGGATTAAGTTTTATCTGGTTGGATTTCTTTTTGAGAGATACTCTATCAATTGTACTTCAGAATTTCTATAATTACTCCCAGAGCGTTTCCACTACAGCGCTTTCAACCAGTGGGCTGAATACTCCAATAAATCACCAATTCATTTAGTAATTTTTGTAATTACGAGTTACTTGTACTTTATTGTTTGGAAAACAAGTTGTAAACTATGTTGGTTCGACTACTTTCTGCCCTGTTACAATCGCCCATGACTGCCAGATAGTTGTAGACGCAAAGTTGAATTCAAAAAATCACATCTCGGGAAGTTAAAGATTTCTTTCATTGGAAATTTACTTCATTGGTTTTTTGAATGTGCTTCCTTTGCACTGTAATTGTGATTAATTGAAGTTGAATTCGTAATAAAAATTAACATATATTTCGTAGGTTAGAATACGCCTTTTTAAAGAATTATTTTTCTTCCAAATTATCATCTGATACACATTAAATGAAAAGGTTTATAGAAAAGAATTCTAGGAAGTTGTTCATACATATTCATTCACGTTTGCCTATTTTATAAATTTTAATTCCTTATATTATTTTATTCAAAAACATGTTCATATTTCTGACCAACATTACGTGGTCCCAAAGTTTTGAAGTATAAATGTTTATAGCTGCGGTAAATTCTTGGGTATAGCTTGAATCTTTCAAGAGAATGCGGACGTTGAAACATTTTTCGCGGGACCTCCACAAAAAATTTCCACTCGGTTCACCACGAATTTGAACGGGTCACTTGAATTTATTTGTTAATATTTATTCGAAAAATATTTCTAGTATAAACTTTAATGTTGTAATAGAAATAAATTTTACCTTAAAATTATTTATTGCATCGACAATCCCATCACGGCTCATTTCAAAACGAAGACTGACCAAGATTTGCCCTTGGTCAGTTATTTAGTTTCTTTTCTGTTTCTTTTTATTTTTTTTGTGCAGCACCTGATCGTTTCGTTACTACTCAGACAACCTTGACACAACGAGCTGATGAAATTCATTCTCGATATCGACCGTGATTGTGTTTACACAATTCGTTAATACCACCGAAAACTGGCATTTCTCAAAATTCACCAGTTTTCGAATCTATTTTTAAATCGTTTTACGCCATCAAATATACAAATAAATCAAACAATCCGATTCTTTTTAGTTTGCCTCGAAGAAAAATATTATTGATCTCTTCGTAGCAAGCACAATTCTCACAAGTATCTCATAATATATGTATTATGTAAATTTCCTTACATTTCTTGAAACAAAATTTGAGCGATGTCTGAAGTAACGAATTTTCATAAGGGTCTTATAACGTCAGCGAATATTTGAAATAAAAATTTTTGGTATGAAACTTGAGGTCAAAGACAAAGCAAAAGATTCGGAAGATTCAAACCTTTTGTTACTAGATTTATTACGGAACGGTTGAGATGAAATAAAAATAATTCTTTGCGGAATGAACGATGTGACGCAAAAATATTTTTAACTTTATCCCCACTTTTGAAAATATCAAAATGAATAATGGTCGAGATGAACGAATAGAAATCAACGTAATGAAATGATGAATTGTTTTTCCTTCTCGTTTTGTCAACACATTCAGTTAATGTTGAAAATAAATCAACAGCGATTTTGATCGTAAATAAAATTATTAAAATATCCTTTGATATAATCGAATAAATTCACTTGATATTTAGCGCCTATAAAATTTTACAACTTGATGAATTTTCGCCATTGTTCGCTCCTATATGCAATAAGCGCTCATAAATGAAATCGTAAATTCTAAGCTTTTGCAGTAAACCGTAGATAAACTGTTAAAACGACATAGTTTAACACCCCAAATTTAGTTCACGACAAACGTAAAACAACGAATTAAATCAACTATAATAATTCATTTTAAAATATTCCCAAAGATTGAATTTAAAATATTTGTTTACAACTTGGCACATGATGTAACGAAAGATACTAAGTGTTAAAATACACATGGAAATACTCCTTAATATGGAGTTTTATCGCCTACAAAACACGTTATGGTATAATAAGAAGTGGTGGTTTGTGTTGCGAACACATCGTGAAAACTGATGTAAAACCGAGAGAGATGAAACGCCGAGACGAAAACGACTCGGAAACATTGTTGAAACGATTCAAAAGGTTTTCGTTTCGTTGTAAAGGTGACTGAAGCTGTTTATATGTGTTAGTAAAGTGCGATTGTGATGCTAATTGGCTTTTCGTGGAATTGTTTATACGTATCTCTTTTAATTTATTTAAACGAAACGGTAAATTATTTATGTGGAAGTTTGGTTGCTATTGAATGGTGTTTAGATTAGTTGTTAAGATGGTGTTAACTAGGAAAATTTACTTCTATTAGTCAAGATATGTTATTGAGAATTGAGATAGATGGATGTGGCAATTTAAATTTAAGCTTTCTATGATAGAAATATTTTTTTGGAGAAACTAAGAATTAAAAATAGAATTAAATTAAAATGAATTAATAAATAAACTAATAAATTGATGTTGAAGTTTTAAAATTAACAATTGAAATATATTAAATATGAAAGTTTATAATTAACATAATTGAGTATAGATACCTTGCCTCATACTATAAACTTAAATTAACATGCAAATAAATCTTTGTCAAAGCCAAAAACCATAAATCAAGAGCAAAGGTACAAATAACAATGTTGTTAATTAAAGGTGTCGCCAAGAGACGCAGAAATAGACTAATAACACATATTTTAATATTAACTACTTATTCCAGAAACTTAAACGTCCTTTATTAATAATATTACTAATTGTACTATTGTTTTTGATTTGTAATCTCTGTTTATATTAGTATGAAAATAAACAAGGCGTTCATTTGAAAACTTCTCACCTGAAATTTTGGAAAGTTAGAAATTTATGAAAAAAAATCACTGAAACACGTAAGAAGTATTATCAAGGGTTATAACGTTTTATGAAAACATTGACCCCAACTTTAACCCCTGTCCAGGGGCAACCTCTTTCAAAATCTTAAATGAAAGGATATCGAGTAATACCTCATATTATGGCGTTTAGTTATTTCAAATTGTTCGACTGCTAATTTTATATAGTACATCGAAGAATACTTTCTGCCGTGTTTAATAAAGTAATATCTATAGTTTTTACACTTCAGCGAGTTCCCACGTCTTATGGATAAGTCAGATGATCGCCAGGTTTCACTCCTCGGAGATTTCTTTTGTAGTCCATATTTACTCGTATATTTTGTGTAACTGACAGGCCAGTTGAGCCCCTACCGTTTGAGGAATTCGGCAGGGATTTATTAATCGCTGCCAGGTGACTTATAATTTCTTAGCTTTTGAAGGTTTTCTTTTATCTCTGCTGGGGTTGGTGCTTGTTGTTCCCCGTCGTTTACTTTGCTCTGACGGCCGGTATTAAACAAGAACTAGCACTTACACTGAAACTACCACTAGCACTATCACTCGAACTTTCGGCGTTTAAATAGAATCGTCAATTCTAGTTCCGTATAGCAAAGATACTGCTGCAGCTGCAATATCGAGGACATCCTTTTGTTCCTGTCTAAGACCTGCGTCGTTCGGTCAGCCTAACAAGGTGAACTTCCAAAGGCTCTATCTGCTAGAATTTTACTTCGATTGACAATTGAAATTATAAATATTCTAGACATACTGTACTATCAAATAAAAAAAAAACATTTTTTGAAATTTTCAAGCCCATGCCCATGGCATTTTCCAAGCCCAATATATATATATATTATATTTATTTTTGCACAATGTGATTCGGTATTTAAACTTTCTGCAATGCCTTTCCTTTCATTCTGCTATGGACCATTTTATTTTGGACACTATAATAAGAGAACTGTCCTACATTTTTCTCGTCCTTTCTGAGCCGTCATGTCCTCATTGGTTAGTAGATTTATAGCTAGCGCTTTCTAGAAATATTTTAGCTAATCTCCGTTCTGCAGCAGTTTGGTGTTGAATCTGAGTATTCTTTCTCCTTTCATTTTTTTCGCATCCGCTATGACAAGCAAGCAACGGGAGAACGATATAGTATACCAAAGAAATCTATAGTTTGTGTTTTATGTTTGCAGCAGATTCTGCCTGAGAAAATGTGTCAATGAGTGTGTTCTTATTCAGATACCTTTCATTAAATGTTGTGGCAATTCATCGAGCACATTGATTTTCGATTTCATAAATTAATACAATTTCAACCTTTTCTTGCAAATTGTAAATCATCATTGTTACTTTATAAATAACGTTGGGTTGATAACAGAAAATAACAAGTTGTACTAAAACAACAGACAATGTATTTACAAACGAGGAAACCGGAGATGTAATCCGCTTTTTATGCTATTGTCTGTTTTTCGTTCATACCATTATTTTTTGTTCGGTTACACAAAATGAACCGAAGAACGCAAAATCGGTATAAAAAAGTACCTGTTTTTACTTACTATATAACAACAAATATGTATTCTGAATTATACGCAACTTGACAGCTAAATAACCATAATGTTATTTTTTTTTATTTTTGTGATATTAATCAGTTTTTAGTATTGGTTTTCGTTTAAAATTACTCGATACCCTTTCCACTTAAGATTTTTAAGGGGGTAGCTCTTAGAAACAGGGATTTAAGAGGGTGACTAAATTTTTGCATAAAAAGTTTCTCCCTCGATAATCCTTCTGACGTGTTTCAGCGGTTTAATTCATAAACTTTCCAGTTTTCCGGAAATTGCGATGGGAAGTTTTCAAATGAACTCCTGCATATGTCCAATTGTGTTTCATTTTTAGGCATCTTTGATGATGACCGAAACGGTTGTAACTAGTAAGAAGGAATAAATATATAAACCATTTGGTAAGTATATTTATTACAATAAATTAATAACGAATTTGAATACAATATAATGTTTCATATAATAGTTACTCATTTTATATATGTCAATTAACATATATTGTACACTGTATAAGCATATTTATATGTATATGAATGTATTGGGTTTTATCGTTATCAAGGTAGGTTCTCATTGAAAGGATCCAACACAACACCAGTCTTATTCAACCTAATTATATACCATTGAATTTATTATTTATTGTTTAATATTTTTCAATATAAATGCTAAAACTCTGATTATTAATTACCAAGAAATGTTATACATGGTCAGCAAATGAGGGCAAAGCATGAAATTATACCAAATTGCTAATCTCTATAAGTAGTCTTATTTGACTGCATATCTAATAAGCCTATTTCTATTTTTCCTATACGAATTTCTATTATTTTTCATCATATAATCCTACTTGCAGTGATTGTACCAGAAATCGTTAACACCAGAAAAAGGTTAACTTTACTCAACACTTATTCATACAGCTTAAGAAAAATCTATATAAAGCATAAATGTAAATGCACTGGTTGTTACAAATACAAAAAACGCTATAATTCGTAACGTTATCTTAAACATATTGAAACCACTTTGCATTAGATATCCCAAACAATGAAGCAGAAACATCAGTAGTTATCAAACAAATGGAAAACGTGCAAAATATGACTCGGGTTCTTAATACATTTTTATATCGTAAAATTTTTGCAAAAATTCGATACACCATTCCATTCGTCAATAAGAGAGAGTCTGTATTCAACAACGGTGGTTATGAGCACCGAGCATGAGAACATGGATAAGGTTGTGCTAAAAGCGGTATCATCTTTCATTTTTCTACTCTCTTTTACTAATCCCAGGAAATTTTAGTATTAGTACCTAAAGTGAATTCCACTCTTATGTATATACAACATCAATTTTTAAATTATCTAAAATTTTAGACAAGAATCGAAACACTCTTTCAAAGAGACGTACTTTTCTCGCATCCCATTCTTTAA